TCCGAAGTAAGCGCTAGCTGTCATTTAGTTCCGAATCAGTAGTTTGTTTATTTAGATTTATTTACAATAGATTTTGTTCATGTTAAATTTAGTTCATATGGTAGATTTAGTTCAAATGTACATTTAATCTCATTTCACAAATAATAACCTACGTTTGATTTCGCCTAGAATTACTTTTACAAAGTTTACATTTCAATTGATACTGATAAAAATCTGTTGGAGTGGGGGGAAGAGGCTGGATAGAAAATGTTCAATTGTTTTTCAATGTACTATTCATTCATTACTAGGAGAAAAACATTGGCTCTGTAAGTTGTATAAAGGAGGGATTGTCTTTTTGTTTTAGTGTCGTTCTGTAAGAGTTTTCAGGACTTGATCCAATACACACATTAGGAATGGACAAAGTGTGATAACGGGTGGGATTTGTTTGTTGTTTTAAATACTTTTGATCAAACCATGTTTGCTTTTCCCGTCATGCAGTTTGTCGAACTCTAACCCTAAAGCTTGAATCTCGCGGTCGTGTCGTTTAGTACTCTAGCAAGTGTTCTCTTCATTTCAGTCAATGCTACAATAATGTCCAAGTCAAACAAGAAGTCACGTGACCAAAAACTTCAGTCGAAACGGAAAAACAAGAAAACTAAAACGAAAAAGAAAAAATCGACGCTAAAGCGACAAAAAATGTCCACATAAACCTAATGTTTTTGTTTGGCAGGCAATGTCTTCGATTCTGAAGATTAAAGATGACTACGCAAACCTAGCTGCGACATGCATATTTTCCCCACATCAGGTGTAGACAAAGTTTAGTGACATGGAAATGACATTTGAAAAATAATAAGTTATTTTAGTTATTACAGAGCTTTGACCATTCAGACCTTTTTTTTCTGATTATGCGAATGATTAGATATTCAATTGTTGTTAACAGTTCTACAGTGCACTACATTCAAGCTGTTAGTTTGGCATTTCCCTGCAAAGATTTTTGTATGTGTGTGTTTATTTTTCATTTGGCACATTCTTTCGCTGCTCTGCATTTAGCCTCTATAAAGTGTTCAATGTCTGAAACCGTAATTTAGTATTACGTTTATATTCTGTAGCTTTTGAAACTATTGCCAATTGTGCTTTTTTTTTTTTTGTTTGTTTGAAGATTTACAATGATTAACGAATATATTTGTCTTATCTTAGCTAAATAATTGAATGAATGTTGTAGTGTAACCCAATATAATGAATAAACCTCAAAATATGTGCGGGTGTGTGTTATACTCAGCGCACAATCATTGCGGATGTTTAAAGGAGGGTGGATAATGTTTGGTGCACGACTGAAAGAAAATGGACACTCAATTAAGGTTCGAAGGAAGGGAGTTGTGTGTAAAACTGTTCTCAGCCTAGTTATGCTACACACACATCCGTTCATCTAGTCCACCGACTGTTTTTGGGCATTAAATATAACTAGAAACATAAGGCTTGAGTTTAATCCTCTCTGTTTTAATCGTTAAAAAAGAATTATTTTTTTTTGTTAATAATCTTTGATCATTGTCATGGTTGGAGATATTTATAGCTTACAAGGGGAACTAATCGAAAGTCAGAAGTATATTCTTTATTAAGACTTTTAAAAAAAATTATTCCTTGTCAAAATGTGTGCATGTATGTGCAAGTAATATATTTGTGGCATTACTCTTGATTTACATTTGGTAAACAATTCTGTTAAGACTCACAGAACGTTTTTTTATTCAATCCACCTCTAACATAAGGTGTAAGCGTTCACGATTTTTTTTATATTTATTTCCCTTTTGTTTTGTGTTACTGTATATATTATAAACTCACAAAAGGAAGTAAAAAATATCACGAGCCTGTTTATTTATTGTATAATACCGCAACGTTTAAATGTCGCCTCATTTTCGACATTTCTTTGTAATCTCTTATGTCAGAGATTATAATTCTGCTGGACAGAATCACAATTTAATCTTGAAACAAATAAATAAAATGATGTATATTCATATAAAGAAAAAACATAACTGCACTGCTCTTCCCAGCACATGCATGACTTTGGTAAATGTATTAAATTAACAACATAATCCCATGTTTGTATTATTGAAATGTAAAAGAGTAAAAAAATACAATTAGACATTAGGCAAACTAACGTCCACTAACAGCATTTTTTTTAACATATAACAGTTCTCGATCCATTAAGCTTCCTAATAGACCTTTCTTCCATCATTAATGTCACTATCAAAGCTCAAACGATATTTTGTAAAGTCATTGGCAATTTCCACTGGCAACTAAACAATGTCAAGGGTGCTAGATTAAACCTCAGTGTGACCAACTAAATCAAAACATATAGTTCGTCCATCGTGGTTCAATGATGACCACTTTGTCATCCAGGGGGCTGAGGGCTTTGCACTGGGGCTTTATGCCTCCTCATGTGACTGGTGAGACCTATGTGAGCCCGGAATGTTCGGCTACACCCTGGGCAGGTTATTCCAGCTGGAGCTAGTGTCGTGGGCCTTGCTTTTCTTCTCTGGCGTTTTTCTTCTGCCAGCGTGGTTCTCTTTTCCTCAGCAACCTGTTCGCCAGTTTTCACAGCGCGACGCCATGATGCTCTGTCATGTGCCTCTGTCTCCCAGGTGGCTGGGTCTAAGCTGAACGCCTTCAGAGAAGCTTTGAGGTTGTGTCCCTGAAGAGCTTTCTCTGACCACCTTTCGAGCGCTTTCCTTCGCTTAGTTGGCCATACAAGAGTCGTTTAGGGATGCGGTGGTCTTCCATTTTGCAGACGTGTCCTGCCCATCGAAGCTAAGACTGCATAATGCGCTACAAACTGAAGAGTTTAAAAAATTGAAAAATATATCACTTTAAAAAATATAGCTTATCAATACTTCCGTTATTGGAACACCGGATACACCAAAAAGTCAGTTGTTATTTTTAGTTTTTACACCATACATGAAAATCTAAAAAAAAAATTAAATCATGAACGCGTCAAATCTGTGGCCCTGTATTGTCTCTAGAAGTCTGCAGATCTCGTGTTATTCTAAATTCTCACTTTGGCTTAGAAGCCTCAAACTGGTTGATAGATTCTCTGGCGTAGAAGCCTAAAACTTGTTGGGAGGTTTCACTCTGGCTAGAGATCTCAAACTGGTTGATAGGTTTCCCTCTGGCGTAGAAGCCTCAAACTGGTAGAGATTACAGGAATTCAAACAATAGATCCTTTTTGGCATGACGACAGTTACAGATGACATGATATCACAAGCTTAGAGAAACTATAGTGGGAATCGGTCAAAAATAAAAAGTACTCCTTCAAGACTTTGCGATCAAGGACAGAGGATGTAAACGTCATCTGTTACTATGGCCAACGATTACCTAAGGTGTCATATGGCCAGCACAACGCCAAGCCGCCTTTATTATCCCCGACGAATGTCAGGTTTACTGCTGTGTGGACTCAGTGGTCCAAAACATCACAGCTTTCACTGAGGTTTCAACCCTAGATTTGTCAATTTGTCAGTCTACTTCTAAAAACTTTTGAGCTCAGAGAAAGAATCGATGTCTGATTCAGCTCTGCACATTACGGAAGCTTCTTGAAATAACTGCAATCATTGAATTCTTTATTCTCTAAGAAGTGAGGAAGTTTGTGGAATCAGCTAATCGCACCAAGATGTATCTCGCGAATCGAGAAAAAAATGCCTCAATGTTGATTCTATTTTATTTTAATCTCTTTATTTACCTTGACCTTGGCACATTTGTTACTACAGTCATCTATTTCATCGTCGTCCACAGATGTCAAGACAACTCTTACAACCATAACAACCTTTTCAACCACAACAGCCATTACAGCCACAGCCACAACATCGACAAATGCAGCATTTCTACTGGTGAGCAGCGTCGAAAGCCGGCTTCACCAATGGGCTTTGCTGGTTGCAGTCGTCAGCCTCAGCCTCGTTTTCGTCGCCATTCTTGTCGTCTGCATTACATTCCTTGGTATCAAGCTGCGCATGCTCGACCGGCCAGCGATGCCGCCGGAAAAACGGTCAAGCCCAACAGATAATACTTTCATTGTATTACACTGTAAGGCGGCCAGTGGCTCCCACCTGTCAAATTACTTCGAAAAGAATCCAACAGCTAACAGTTTGTATTCCGAATCTATTTTTAGTGATGATTTTGCAAAACGATATTATTTCGTAAAAAACTAAAAAGTAAGATGTAAATTCGTTTTTTTTCTCCTATTATTTATTAATTATAAATCAAAAGTTATAAAGTTTACCATAATTAAACATGTTTAATGTATAATTGCAGGGCCAGATTTACATGTAAACAACATAAGCTATAGCGTAGGGCTCATATGAAATGTTTAGCACTGGCATATAGTATCTGGACTTATAAAGGGACTCGAATGGGCCCCATATCTCAAACAGCTTAGGGTCTTTTCAAGTTTAACCACGGTAGTGTGTAATTGTATCAATGGTATGTGGCCTAAATGTAGTGGTTTATCGCGAGCACACACACGTCAGATTCTGTCAAAACACAACTCTACGGGTCACAGGTATAGGCTCTTTAGTAATGCATGGTTTTCAGCCTTCTTTCTACTTCTGGTGTGTACATCATATCTGCGATCCCTGAACTCTCCTTTATCAGTGAAGCTAATGTGGATCTATTCTGTGCTTCTTGTTCCTAACTGATGAAGTTGATTCTAAAGAGTTTGCATACATTAGTATAAATGGACGATCTCTACAATACACATATAATTTTGATGAATGCGTTGTGAGGGTCCACTTCTTGGTAGACATGGACATGTGTTGATAGATGGAATGATCTCTCTCATTCAAAGTATAATAAATATTACCAACAGTGATAGAATTTAAAATGGTGGGTTCAGTGAACTTTTTAAAAAAAACTTATATCGACCTGTAAATACTGTATAAACACACGATAATGCACACTTAACATTCAACAGTAATATGTTAGAATGCCCGGAAGTAGTATGTTAGATTGACAGGAAGTAATATGTTAGAATGCCCGGAAGTAGTATGTTAGATTGACAGGAAGCAGTATGAAAGTAAAATTTGGGTAAGCTTTAGTTTTCTTTATGTAATGTGGTTAATCTAGTATTAGTTGGAAATGATTCTGAAATATTTTTAACATATCAAATGCAACTCAGAGATTTACTAAAGATGCAATTAGTTTAACTTATCTTCTAAAATGTTGACGTGCATGACGACATCGTATTATGTTGTAATTTTATTGGATTTTTTTCATTGCTATGGTTTATTTATGATTGAAATATGAACACTTGATCATGTATATATCTTAATATGCAAAAAGCATTTGTTATTTATGCCTCTCGCAATACATACATCGATTGTTTATTTTGTAATTAGAAAAACATATACGTGTTATCTATTGTGATGTATATATTTTATATTTATCAAAAAAGAATAATTTATTTCAAACACAGATGTTAATTTTTTAAAGTCTTCATCGGTGTCACTACACTAAAGAATTCAAGATTAATAGAACAGAAATGTTTTGTTCTGTTTTTTTTTTCTTAAATTCAAACTAACTAATGTCAAAATAATTCTTGCCTTTGAACAAACTTATGAATAATTTAGATTAGTATTTTCTTGTATCCCACCGCTGACACCATGTTAAATAATATATAAGTTCAGAATAAAGCAATAAGTGAGCAACTCACTATTATCGTCTAGACGGATATGTCTACTTTATAATACTGAGCGACCGCACCTTTCTGCATCACCAAGTAGAATTAGCATTTCAAATCTCAGTACCTCTATTAGTAAGCCCTTGTTAACGACTTTACTGTTAAACATGTATCGAAGTAAAATCATTACATAGTTTCTGTTACAACTGTTAGTACATCTACTTTATTTATGTGTGTTCTAGTTTGCTCTTTATAGCAGCGTTAATGTTAATGCTTCAACAGCAAGTCTTTTAAAATATATTTTTTTCTAGCTAACTAGATAAAAGGTCAAATAAGCTTGAACAAAACGCTGAATACGTTCATTATACATTTCAAACGTAATTTATCATTATTTATTTTGTTATTTTTATCTTATTATCTTATCTTATTATTTATTTATTTTTAATTTAATTCATGCTTGTTTTTTGTTTGCTTAAGTTCAGTGTTGACCAACGACAAACAAACAAAAATCATGTGTTTGATAATATTGAAAACTTCATTTAAAAAAATATATATAATAAACAAAATATGATTTATGTTTATGGTTTTTGTAGTGTTTTGTTTTCTTTACTGATAGAAGAATGGGCTAAGGCGAATAACTAGCGCCTATACCAGTAAGCAGGAGGGGCTTGTTAGACATGTCTGGCTATTCACCTAGGAGAAGGAAAATTCTGAATTCAAACTCTGGTGCCTTGCAGATATACCTAAACATTGGAAAGGTTTCGGGACTCAACCCTTAGGAAAAATCAGGAGTCGGCGACCCGTAGGCCGTTTGCAGTACACATTGCGACACCCTGACAGAACCGTTTGATCGTCTTAAGAGCTGAGCCGAAGGCTCTTCGAGCTCTAAGTTTGAAAAAAAAAAACCTGTTTGGACGCCAAACAGTAAAAAAAAATAAAACCGGTGTGAACACAGTTCTGTTTTAGAGAGACCCGAGTCAATGCCTATATAAAGCATTGCTGTTTCCAATGCCTTTGGCCCCGGACGCATGCTTGGCTGAACATGGCCGAAGGCCGAGGACACCGGGAGCCTCCGCCATTTTCCTTCGTTATACCAAGCTAACCGTGGGGGACTCGCCATTTATGTAACGGTCTTTTGAGGAACAGCGCATGGATGTGTGACAGGTTTGTGGGAACTTTTTTGCACCTCCGCCCGTGCAAGAGGTGGACTGGAGTTTTCTTTCGCCATTCATCTAGCCTAGTTACCCTCTCAAGTAACCGCTTCCACCCGGGTGCCACGATGAGGCAGAACAGTGTATTCCGGCCTGACAGAACCTGCGACACCGATGGTCCCAAACTGTATCGGCATTTGCCGTTCCTTTGGATAGATCTGCTGTGTTGAAATGGGGGGGGGGGGGAGACCGGTTTGTTAATTACATCGTTCCGACCATAGATAATGAGCAGGCATTCATCTCATTTATATGCCAGACAATCACCTTCCCAAACCACTTCTGTACGGGTAATAGTGTGCAGGAAAGCGCTCCCAGGGAGGTCAATACAAGCACTATAAAGACACTCTCAAGAGCTTCTTCACATTCTGCAGCTAAAAGCAGTAACAATAGCAGTGTAATTGCAGCAGTAATAGTATCAGGCCGTCCCATGTACAGGAATAAATATAATTACACGACAGACCACAAAGATCTTCGGCTGTCACACAGACATACTATACTGACCACTGGTCAACTGTCCACTGAACTGTTTTTAAAACAGCGTGGCATCACTTTTTATACACCCCACCCTAACTTACACAAAAAGCGGAAGTACAAATAATAAATTTGACACTAGCCTATAAAAATAGAATACATAAAAATATAGCTCTGGGAGCGCAAGCTCACAAGTGCATTCAATGTCTCAGTGGCGCCTTCCCTTTCAACCCTATCCAAAATATATAGTTCCCATTTCAGACCTTGGACATGAGGTAAAGGTCATCTGTTTCTATGGCCCACGGTTAACGAGTGTGTCATGTGGCACAAAAACCAACCGCCTTTACTTTTCCCCAACCTAAGTCAGGCACCCATTATTAGGAAGAGAAAGACACAATTATCAATAAGTGTTTGACTGACAAGTTTTTATTAGCCACACGTTGACACTATAGACAATAAATGTACGTCAAGAAAGTCAATATTGACCTCATGAAAATCTATTAAGTCAATATTGACCTCGACCTCATGAAAATTAATATTGACATCATGAAAATCAATTAAGTCAATATTGACCTTATGAAAATCACTTAAGCCAATATTGACCTCATGAAAATTAATTAAGTCAATATTGACCTCATGAAAATCAAGTCAATATTGACCTTATGTTTTTAATGAATGACTGGGAAATTTCAACTAGGGTGTGTCGTAATGCATAATTGTTCAACAAATTTCCTCACGGACAATAAATATTATTATATTTATTATTATTATTATTTAAAAAAACGAACTAATAGTCATTCCTTTCAATGCCAGGGTCGGGCTTCGTTAGAGAGAAACAAAATTCATTGCAGTCCCTTTAACAGTGTCCACTCAAAAACTTTCTGGTGATATGGCATGTCTGCAGCAGTATCGCCCTCTGACAGGCAACGAGAATCTTCTTAGGGATATTAAGGGCCTTGAAGGCATCTGAGAGGTCAATTGTTATTATCCCTGTTGCATAATAACAGGTTATATTGTTATTTTAGACAACTTCCATAACTACTTCATCTCAAAGATTAGGCTCCCTTAATTTCTATATTTTTCCATTATTATGATCATTCTTATTATTATTATATTCTAAACGGCTAAACATAACTATTGATCGTGCATTTTGTTATGGAATATGTTTATTTTATTGCTGGTGTTATTGGTTTAAATTTCATATGATTTAATGATACATATTTTTACCTCAGGCTTTTTTAATATCAGTTTAATTTTATAACTCACTTACATATTAATAAAAATAAATATTCATTTACTTTTTGACCACTTTTATTATCCTAATGAGCTGAAATTTCGTACATAAACTCGTGCTCCGTTATAACGCATTGGAAGATGCCAAAGTCCATCGCATTCATTATTACATTAATTTTCTATTTTAAAAAAGTATTTCCCGTCTAGGGGACTCACGGGAAGTAACAATTATGTTGTTTTTTTATTACTTAGTATCTGTAATATTCTTTTTGCATACATCCGTCCCCTTGCAAAAGTAAGGCACTGTGTTTATTTTTTGTATTGGTAATAAAATATGAATGTGTAGTTTACTGTATTAGTACGTTAGTATGTGTATGAATACGAATATTTTGACCTACGGCTTTAATTTTAAAAACAATTAATATAACTGGTTATACGTTTATTTAACTTGAATCAATTACGCAAGAATACAAACTCTCATAATGTGGTCGCCACACGATAGGGTAATTACATAGTCGTGTTCCCAAACAATGTATTCACGTCATTCTATTAGTCCAAAAATTTTCTTTGGTGAAATAGCCAATGGCAGATTCACGGAGTGCTGTGAAGCAAGGATGTCAAGGGATAGACGGATTACTGGTTTATGAGACGGCACAGGACAGGTCAACAGGTGATGAGGAGCAGGATACTCGAGTAAAGCAGCTTCAACACACAGCCTGTCAATCAAACATTTACGATCAATCAATCAGTGAATTTCTGTGAACATGTCATTATTAGACAGCAGCAACCCATTCCTGTTTCATAACTCTCATTTTTCAATCACCCCTCCGCTTTCAAAAAAGTTTAGAAATAGGTTTGTCCAAACAACTAGCTGTCATCATTGATTATGTAGCTTTCGAACAGGTTCTTTGTCTGCACTACACCTTAGTACCATTGGTCAGCAGCATTATTCTTTATATAAAGCTACACTACATCACACCATCTGTCGTCTTGACTAAATCACACCATCTGTTGTCTTGATTAAATCACACCATCTGTTGTCTTCACTAAATCACACCATCTGTTGTCTTTAATACATCACACCATTTGTCGTCTTTAATACATCACACCATTTGTCGTCTTCACTAAATCACACCATTTATAGTCTTTTCTAAATCACACCATCTGTTGTCTTAAATACATCACACCATCTGTTGTCTTGACTACATCAAACCATCTCTTGTCTTGACTAAATCACACAATCTGTTGTCTTGATTAAATCACACCATCTGTTGTCTTCACTAAATCACACCATCTGTTGTATTTAATACATCACACCATTTGTCATCTTTAATACATCACACCATTTGTCGTCTTCACTAAATCACCCCATTTATAGTCTTTTCTAAATCACACCATCTGTTGTCTTAAATACATCACACCATCTGTTGTCTTGACTACATCAAACCATCTCTTGTCTTGACTAAATCACACCATCTGTTGTCTTGACTAAATCACACCATCTGTCGTCTTGACTAAATCACACCATGTGTCGTCTTGACTAAATCATACCATCTGTCGTCTTGACTAAGTCACACCATCTGTTGTCTTAAATACATCACACCATCTGTCGTCTTGACTAAATCACACCATCTGTTGTCTTGACTAAATCACACCATCTGTTGTATTGATTAAATTACACCATCTGTTGTCTTCACTAAATCACACCATCTGTTGTCTTTAATACATCACACCATTTGTCGTCTTTAATACATCACACCATTTGTCGTATTCACTAAATCACACCATTTATCGTCTTTTCTAAATCACACCATCTGTTGTCTTAAATACATCACACCATCTGTTGTCTTGACTACATCAAACCATCTGTTGTCTTGACTAAATCACACCATCTGTTGTCTTGATTAAATCACACCATCTGTTGTCTTCACTAAATCACACCATCTGTTGTCTATAATACATCACACCATTTGTCATCTTTAATACATCACACCATTTGTCGTCTTCACTAAATCACACCATTTATAGTCTTTTCTAAATCACACCATCTGTTGTCTTAAATACATCACACCATCTGTTGTCTTGACTACATCAAACCATCTCTTGTCTTGACTAAATCACACAATCTGTTGTCTTGACTAAATCACACCATCTGTCGTCTTGACTAAATCACACCATGTGTCGTCTTGACTAAATCATACCATCTGTCGTCTTGACTAAGTCACACCATCTGTTGTCTTAAATACATCACACCATCTGTCGTCTTGACTAAATCACACCATCTGTCGTCTTGACTAAATCACACCATCTGTTGTCTTGATTAAATCACACCATCTGTTGTCTTCACTAAATCACACCATCTGTTGTCTTTAATACATCACACCATTTGTCGTCTTTAATACATCACACCATTTGTCGTCTTCACTAAATCACACCATTTATCGTCTTTTCTAAATAACACCATCTGTTGTCTTAAATACATCACACCATCTGTTGTCTTGACTACATCACACCATCTGTTGTCTTGACTAAATCACACCATCTTTTGTCTTGACTAAATCACACCATCTGTCGTCTTGACTAAATCACACCATGTGTAGTCTTGACTAAATCACACCATCTGTCGTCTTGACTAAATCACACCATCTGTTGTCTTAAAT